CAGTGGGGGGTGGGTGTGGGGAGCTGTGGAGACCCCCCCGGGGTGGTGTGGGGGTGCTGGTTGGGTGGAGCTGGGGAGGCTGTCTGCATGTGGCAGTGGGGATGTGCAGGGGCAGCTCCGAGGGTCTCTGTTCATGGTGGGGGAAGCTGTGGCAGTTATGTGTACAGTGTGACAGGTCTGGGGGGAGGGTGCCCTGGGGCATGGGAAGCTGGGGCTGTGTGTGGCAGAGGGGATGGCGTAGGGGGAAGCTGGGGGGTTTGGGGGAAGGGGAGGTGTGGGGCACCTCCCTGTATGGCCCTGGAGTCAGCGCCTGCTGGGTTGTCAGGGTGAAGCTTCCCCTCCTGCTTGTGCCTTAGCAGCAGAGGGCAGGGGACATGGGAGGACATAGTTCAGTCTGGAGGTGAAAACCCCACAGCCAGCCCTCCTCAGTGAGTAGAACAGGATCCAGTGTGCCTTTGGGCTCAGTGCCCTGAGGGTGCAGCTTCTGCAGGAGGACGTAGTTCAGTGAGAGAGGTTGGGAGCGGAGGATGTCACCGAAGAGCTGGGATAGAAACTTATCAACACCAATTTGATGCAGATAAGCAGATACTTCTTTACTGACGGCCAGGTGCATGGGTGAGTGCTCTCACCAACAATACACACCAGTTACAAGAATCATACAGTTTATGTATTATTAATCCATACATATTCATTAAGTATTCATACATAAACACAAGAATTCCTGGAAATCATTATCATACTTCCCTCCTACTTCTGATTCTGTGCACTAAAGTTTAGAAATCTCTAGAAATGAGTCTGGGGTGTAATTTGGGTTGCTGACGCATGAGTCGGTGGTCGCGATCTCCCCCTGCTGGAATTACCCATTACCTAGTTTCACTGTTCCTTGGCAGAGATCTGTAAACTGTTACAGTTCGTTCTCATTAATCTCAAATTGTGGTACATCTAAGACCTTATCCAATGTATTCTAGGTAATAAATTACTTATGTGTCTAGACATCTCTAACAACTTCAAACAGAATTATTTTCAATTATGTCTAATTACCTAAGCAGTATCTAGGTGTACCTAGTAAATGATTACTGACCAATTCTTCGGCCATGGTACAGGGCTGTACAGAGGAATTCATAGTAGCATTGGTTTCTGGTTAGATGTGCAAAATGCAAGATAAATGTAAACATGTAATCCTACTAAAATATTTCTATATTCGTACTGGAATCAAACATTAATACTGATTGGTGGCAAATCAGTGACAAGGATGGGGAGAGAATTTCTGCTTGGGGTTGCTCCCTTTGTCAGTGTGGGAAGTCTTGGGGCTGAAACTGTGTGAAAAAACCTGTCAGTAAAACTACCAGGCAACGTGTTCTTGTAGAATTGTCCAAGTAACCCTGAATTCACTATTTCACTGTTGAATCGTTGTATCAGTACGGAGGTAGTGATGTGTATGAGAAGTATTTGTCCCAGAAAACAAATTATTTCTGTTACCCTCTACTGAGGAACTATGTGACAAGCTTTCAAGTGAGTGGAAGGCATTAACAGCAGCATATTTTGGAGACGGGACTAGCAGAAAAAGTAACTGTTAGATGTACCAAATGTTCAGAACATGGCTATACAGAATAAAATAAATAAAAAAAAAATTTACACTGACTTGTTTGGAGGAGTATGGGTCTGCTACCTGGGATATCAGGTGCCTGGAGCAGGGCTCAGGACTGTCTAGGACATGTCTGGGAGGAATCTTGCACAGATCCCAGAGAACAGAGCAACCTTTCAGGGATAAAAAACTCTTTTTATCTTCCTTGGAGAACTCTGGGGCTGGCACCCAGGATTAGACACCAATAAAGAAGAAGTGAAAAGACTCCCAATATGTACTTGGAGGAGAAGTGGGAGGATCCAGGAACAAAAATCTTATCTTATATGGGGAAAAAACATCTGGGTATCTTCTCTGGAGGAGTCTGGGGCTGCTACCCAGGATTAGGCCTCCCTAAAGCAGAGATGAAAAGACTCCAGGACGTGCTTGGGAGCAATCATGGTTGGATTATGGAGGTGGGAGAGTTTCTCAGAATGTAAAATATATTTCAGGTGTCATTCTTGGAGGAGTCTGTGTCTGTACCTGGGACCTCAGGGCATTGCAGCAGCACTTAGGACAGTCTGGGACATATGAGGGAGGAATCTTGGTCAGGTCCCAGAGAGGAGAGTGATTACCAGGCAGACAAAACATCTGGGTATCTTTCTTGGAGGAGTCTGGGGCTGTTACTGAATATTAGGCCTCCCTAAAGCAGAGATGAGAAGAGTCCAGGACTTTCCTGGGAAGATTCTTGGTTGGATTGTGGAGATGGGAGAGTTTCTCAGGAGGTAAAAAATATCTCAGGTGGCATCCTTGGAGGAGTGTGAGGGTGCTATCTTGGATCTGATATCCATGGAGCAGGGCGCAGGACTGTCTGGGACATATGAGAAAGGAATCTTGGTCAGGTCCCAGAGGGGAGAGTGAATTATCAGAGAGACAAAACATCTGGGTATCTTCCTTGGAAGAGTCTGTGGCTGCTACCTGGGATCTCAGGGCACCACAGCAGCTCTCAGGACAGTCTGGGACATGTCTGGGAGGAATCTTGGTCAGATCTCAGAGAATAGTCCATTATTCAGGGAGAAAATACGTCTAAATATGGTCCTTGGAGGAGTCTGGGGTTTCTTCCCAGGATTAGGCTTGCGAAATCCCCGCGAAAAGACACCAGAATATTGCTGGGAGGAAGCGTGGGATGATGCTGAAGCCAAAATCTTTCTTTACAGGAGAAAACACATCTCGGGTGTCTCCTTTGGAGGTGTCAGGAGCTGCTGCCTGTGATGTGATGGCCCTAAACCAAAGGAGAGAAGAGAGCAGGAGATGCCTGTCAGAAGATCTGGGTGGAAGCTGGAGATGAGGTTTCTCCAGATGGTAAAAAATATTTCCTGTGGCCTCCTTGGAGACTTCTTGGGCTGTACCTGGGATCTCAGGGCCCTGTATCAGCATCAGGTCAGTGTGTGACATGTCTGGGAGGAATCTTGTTCAGATCCCTGAGAAGAGCATGTGTTATCAGGGAAAAAAAAATTCTGGTTATCTTCCTTGGAAGAGTTTGTGGCTGCTACCTGGGATCTCAGGGCACTGCAGCAGCTCGTAGGACAGTTTGGGACATGTCTGGGAGGAATGTTGATGAGATCCCAGAGAATAGACCATTATTCAGGGTGAAAATATGTTGGAGAATGGCTTGCAGAGAGCAAGGCCATGGGTCTCTGCAGAAGCTGATTACAGCCATCTGAGGTAAACAAAGGAAAAAACCCAGGATACATTTATGCTAAGAAGGGAATGTTATGTTAACAAAGAGAGAAACTGAGGTACATTGTGACCTTGGGGGTGATAGAAAAACAGCCCTGGGAGAAAAACAGGTTCAGAAGAGGGAAGGTGTTTATGCATACCTGAAATGCCACAAGGGGCTGGGATATTATAATGTAGCTTTTTACATCTATCCAATAGATTTGTGAGTAGTATGCATGATTATTGGAGAGTGCTTAGATAAGGTGTGATTTCTTTCAATAAAGTTGAAGCTCGCTCTATCATTCACATGCAATTGGCTGCTTGCTTCCTCAGCCCGCAGCAAGTGGCGCACCGAACAGGGTTACCCGAACTCTGCTTTTCCACCAGACGGAACCCGGGAAGCGGCGGAACGGAAATTCGGAGTTGGAAGGAGATAAGGTCACTGTCAATGGCAGTATGGCAGGAGATGTGTGCCATCTCCTAAAGCGTCGGGATTCTTAAGTCTGACATTGCGGCAGCTGGTCCGGCTTCAGGGGATTTTGGCGATCCGAAGAGGGCTACCCCGGAATTGGCCGCATTGGGGATCATACCCTGGAAAGGCCATGCCGCATTGGGGGTCAGACCCTGGAAAGGCCACAGGCTGAAAGGGATCATACCCAGGAAGAGCCTTCACTGATTGTTGGCTACTTGATTGGACTTTAATGAAGGTCGTCAAGCCGCACCAGGAATTTGAGGAATTTTGCCCGGGCAGGAATATTTGAACGAGAGGTAGTCCTCAAACTTTTTGCCTTTTAGAAAAGCGGGGAGTAAGTCCGATAAAAAACTTAGCCATGATGATTGGTCTGGGCAAGGCTAAGGGACACTTTAAAGAGCCAAATTTATTGTTTGAAGAGGCAGAATGGTGTGATAATCTTTTAGATCCTGATGCTGTAAATCCTGAAAAAGAATCTGAACTGTCTGGTCTGTGTCCTCCCTTAATCGGGGATGATCTGTAGATAAAAGTGAGGTGGAAAAAAGTAAAAGTGAGGCAAAAAAACCTTGGCGCAAGGGAATATGGACATGGCAAGAAAAATTCTTACTCCTGTAAGCTATGAGCCGAGTCATCAGCCATGTTGGGAAGAACGGCATTTTTCTGTTATTAAAGATTTAGAGAAAAGCATTAATAAGGACGGGCTGCAAAAATCTCAGATTACAACAGCTGTACTGGAGGCAATGGCTCAGGGATATCGACTGGCCCCATAAAAATTGGCTAACACTTTTAAGAAAAAAGCGGCATTCATGCTGGCACAGCACTCTACCTGGAAAACCGAGGTGTAGATGTCTATGCTCAACATTCGGAGCTGGCAGCAGCAGCCCGGGGCCTCCCCGAACCCCCCTGCAGGGCACTGCAGCAGCTCTTAGGACAGTCTGGGACATGTCTGGGAGGAATCTTGGTCAGATCCCAGAGAATAGACCATTATTCAGGGAGAAAATACGTCTGGGTATCTTCCTTGTAGGGGTCTGGGACTGCTACCCAGGATTAGGCCTCCCTAAAGCAGAGTTGAAAGGAGTCCAGGAGGTTCCTGGGAGGAATATTTGTTCGTGGAGGTGGGAGAGTTTCTCAGAAGGTAATAAATATCTCAGGCGGCATCCTTGGAGGAGTGTGAGGGTGCTACCTTGGATCTGATATCCCTGCAGTAGGGGTCAGAAGAGTCTGGGGCATGTCGGGGAGGAATCCTGGTCACATCCCAGAGAGGAGAGTGAATTATCAGTAGCAGGAGTGATCAGACACTTTTAAGAGAGGAGGAGCAATCGAGAAGGAGCTGCATTGCATTTTCCAAAATATTACACCTGCCAAATCTTGTGAACTCTTTTCACATGAATTCTCATCTTGGCATCCAAAAAACCCCTAAACGTTCCTGCACCTAATTTCAGAGGAGCCTGACATGGGACTGTGATCAGTGCTACAGAGGACAAGCAGCAACCCCTGGTGGGCACCCTAGGGCTCACCCTGAGAGTCCAGAAAGGTTCCTCCCCCCGGATGCAGGGCACGAGGGCCATCTTTGTGGAGCAGGAGCAGCAGGCACCTGGCCAGCATGGCCCAAAGGAGCCCTGGCCAGGGGCCCTGCTCCGTGCTGCAGAGGAAGGCAAAAAACCCCCGGGGGCCAGCGCTAATGTGCCCCGGGGGAAAATTCCTTCCTGACTGCAGCCATGGCGATCAGCTAGTCCCTGAGCAGGTGAGCAAGACCTGCATCCGCGTCCCACAGGCTGGTCACGCCTCCCAGGAGATGCCCAAGCCCTGTTCTCCCTCAGCCTGGAGCCATCTCAGGGGCTTCCAGGAGTGGTCAGATGTCCCCGGCCTGATCGACCCTGGGGGCAAGAAACTTTCCTGTGCCTGTCTAGCGGGTGCTCCAAAGCACTGGGACCCCTAGCAACATCCCTGCATCCATCCCATTTCTTACGGCTGCTGCTCCTGGCTCCGCAGGGGATGAGGCCGGTGAGCTCTGCAGTGCTCCTCACAGCAGCACTCCCTGGGTCTGGCCACAGCTCTCCAGCGGTAACAGCCTGAGAGCCTCGGGCACCTACAGCGGTTGGTGGTTCTTCTCCTCTCCTGAGGGACTTGCATCTGCTCCCGGAAGGCTTGAAGCAGAATTTCCATCCATCCAATGAGATTTGTGGTGGCCATGCCAGGAGCTGGCCTTGCGTGAGAGAACCTCCAGCAGCCTCAACCAGGCTGCAGTTTTTTCCCTCAGCCCCCTGCCATTAATCCCATCCTCTCCTCAAGGGCTTGCTCTCGAATGTCCCTGGGGCAGCTCTGGCAGCTGGACACTGGCGGGTGCCCCCTTTTTTACTGCCCCGGCGCACGGCGACTGCTGCATTGCCAGGGTTGGCACTGTGACCTGGGGGTGGCACTGTGACCTGGGGGTGACTGACAGGGCCCCTCATGCACAGCCCCCTTTGGAGGAAGCCTTTGGGGTGCTGGCCCCGAGGCAGTCGCTGTACCCAGGAGGCCCAGGGGCTGTCCCTGCCCTTGGTGGCCATGCTCTGGGCACGGCTGAAACCACCTGCAATGGTGGGGGGATGAAGTTCCTGATGAGCTTATTCAGCTGCTTTTTGTGGTTTTCTTTTAAATTAATAAATGGCACAATATAAAGCAATTCTCCAGCTCATGCCTGGTCATGAATTGTTCTGCAAAAGTAGTGAAATGAGGGCAGAAAACTGCCAGGCTATGTCGACTCAGTGAAAGAATCCCAACATTTTGATGCCAGCCAGCTGTGAAGAGACAGGCCCTCGCCCTTGTGCAGACGTGGCTCTGCTGGAGCAGCAGGCAGAGGGAGGCTAGAGACGAGTTCCCTTGCCAGGAGTGTCCCCTCCCCAGAGGCTGTTAGGAAGAAGACAGCCTGTCAGGAGCCAGGACTTGCAACCTTATCTACTCCATCAGCTCAAATCTGCATTGTGAGTCACGCTTGGAAACAAGCACTCCAAGGCAGTGCATCTTCAGAGCATGCCTTCCTCTTTGCATGGCTCCTGCAAGGCCAAGAGGTGCTGAAATAGCACATCCTGAAAGAATGAACTCTGGCTGTACTAATGGCATTCCCATAGAGTGCTGGTAAAGAAATGCATGCTAATGTCCCCCTAAAGCTCCCCTGGTGCAGCTTGGAAGCATTCCCACACAGCCTCTCCCTGGACACCAGGGAGAAGAGCTCAGCACCTCCCCCTGCCTCTGTCCTCCTCAGGAAGCTGTAGAGAGCAATGAGGTCCCCCCTCAGCCTCCTCCTCACCAAACTAGACAAACACAAGGTCCCAAACTGCTCCTCACAGGACATTCCTTCCAGCCCTTTCACCAGCTTGGTTGCCCTCCCCTGGACACATTCAAGGACCTTCACATCCTTCTCAGATTGTGGGGCCCAGAACTGACAGCAGCACTCAAGGTGAGGCCGCACCAACGCTGAATACAGCGGGATAATCCACTCTTTGGCCCGGCTGCTTCTGCTGTCTTTGATGCAGCCCCGGGTGCTGTTTGCCCTCTTGGCTGCCAGGGCGCGCACACTGCTGGCTCGCACTGAGCCTGCTGTCAGCCAGCGCCCCTGCATCCCTTTCTGCAGGGATGCTCTCCAGCCACTCCTCTCCCAGGTATTCTTGTGCCTGCCATAGTGCCGTGCCAGGTGCAAAATCCGGTCTTTGGAGTTGTTAAATTTCATCCCATCGCTGACTGGCCAGTGCTCCAATCTGTATCGATCCTTCTGCAAGGCCTCCTGTCCTTCAAGAGAGCCATCAGCACTTCCCAGTTTGGTACCCTTGACAAACTCACTACTGGTAAAGAAGAGGAAACTCTATTGGTTTTCCTCCGCTTTTATCTCCTAAGCTGCTCTGATAGAAAGGTGTTAGCCCAGGTGAAAGACAGATCACTCTGAAAGCATGTCCAGTCAAACACCCACAGGCTTTTGTTAGCCTCTAATGGTGATAACATCCTTAGAAATAGTCCAGTGACAGCTCAGTGGAAACCCCTCTTGCAGAGAGTTTCTGGGGACTGTTTAGCCAGGGCTGCTCTGCAGCACGTGGACTGCAGCACCATCATGTGTCGACTTTGAAGACAATTGCAGAAACAAGGTGCTAAAGCTCTGTGTATCCCAGGCTCATTCTGACCAAGAAATGGACAGATACCTGTCTTCAGTACTCTCGGTGATGTGTTCAGCCTTCTCTCAACCTGGCAGCAAACGCACTACCTGTCACGGGTGCCTGCTAGCTGATGCCTGCAAGCTGCTCATTGCTGTACCAGGAGAAGGGACTGGCAACGCCATGTGCCGAGGGAGGCCTTTCAAGCTTTGCTTCCCTTGTTACAATGCCTTTTTTAACTTTGGGGTTCAGTGGTTTGTTATTTTTTTTTTCTTTTTTCCTTGTTCTAATTTTCCAGCCCGCCTTCCCTGCAGGATACAACCAATCTCAATGTGCACAGGTTAATGTGCTTTCAAAAAGATCCCAACCTCCTGCTCACAGCAGGGCTGGCTTCTACCAGGCATAGTATGTTCACAGATGGGGAAGAAAGGTAGGGGACATTTTCCTGTTGCCAGAATTTGTCATATCAGTAGCTTATCCTGACTCTAGCGTAAGTAGCTGTTTAGTTCACTGCTTTCACAGTGCTTGTGTGAGGAACTTGAACGTGCTGGAATGCAAGGTTTTCGTTTCAGAAGGCACGTTGGGCCATTGCTTTAATTCTTTACTGGTATGAGACAAAGACTTGTGAAAAAATCATGCAATAAATAGAAAGACATGCATGCACTGAGGCAGTTACCTTCCTAGCTATTTATTTGCAATGTGGAAAAAAGCGCTTTTTTTCACCATTAAATAATCTGTCTAGTGGTAGTTTGTTCTAGTCTCAGAGAAGAAACAATTGTCTGGTTTCTGGTTCCATGTTTCATCTGCCTTTGACACGCTCCCTGTTCTTTAGAAGCTCTCTCAAGGGTTTTGTTCCAGGCTTCTTTTTTTCTTCTCTTTTCATTTCAAAAATCTTCATTCCCTCCAATCATATCCAGTGCCTGAAATCTTTTTCTTTTTCTTGTACTTTTCTTCCTCAGGATGATGCCTTGGAATGAACTGGTTATACGTTACCTGATAAAGTAGAATAGTTTGGGTCCTCTCATAGACAGGTCGTGGAAAGAGAATTTACTCGGATGTTGATCTCTCAGACAGAGGATTAGTATACAAGCATGATGTGTAGGAACAACTTCCAAGAGCTGACCACCTATTTCCTTCTTTCCGTGACCTTGCTGTTCGGCGGTGATTGTTAGTTTCTTCAGTGTGATTTTCTGATTCCTCTTCATAGCTCTTAGGAATTACCACATGATTTCTTTGTGAATCCAGACAGGGAGGTGCAAATGGTGCAGCTGCAGAGTTCTTTCCGTGACACTAGCAGGAATTACAGGAGAGAATTTCCTGCAGCAGCCCTGTAAGGCTGGAAAAGTGCAGGACTTGCGTCCCATCTGTTTGGAGCAAAGGGAAGTGAGGTCTCTTGCAGCTGAAGTACCTTTCCCTTCCCTATTTCCCTTCCCTCCCAAGGAGACAGTTATTTGCCGTAAAGGTCGGACTCTTTCAGCTCTAAAGCCACCTTCAAGGACACCCATCACAAAGGTTCCAAGTGCTAACAGGATTTTACTGTATTTTTCTCAGTCTGTTTCAGAGCAGATGCTCACAAGCATTAACGTGGTGCACATGTGTAGCCAGGAGTGGGCTGATGTGATCCTCAGTTTAGCTTGAAAAACCTTTGCTGGAAGCCTGGCAAAGGGAAGGGAGGGCCACAGAAAGTCACGACTCCCCTGCGTCGTGTGGAGGGACAGATGCATGAATGTGATGGTAAAGATGAATCTTTGCCAGAAAGAGGAAAGCAGGTAAGTGGTGGAGACAGCAAGAAGGTGCACTTGAGAGCAAACTGCAAAGTTTGAAGAATGTGACTTTTCTCTCTTTTTGGGGGAATGAACTATTTTCACATGAATTTTCATCTTGGCATCCAAAAATCACCAAATGTTCCTGCACCTAGTTTAGAATTATTTTTTAAAAGATGTTTTTAAAGGTTGATAATTATCTTTTTCTATTTTAAAAATATTTTAATATTTTTGTATTGTTTTGCATATCTTGTCATTATTTTTATAACTATTTAAATGGCTATTTTTCCTTGAATTTTTGCTCTTTATTTTTTATTGTTGTGATGGGGGGTATTTTATTCTTTTTATCATTAGTTTTGCTCTCGTGTTTCTAACTTCTTTGTTTCAGTCTGTAAGGGAGAACTATGATCAATGCCACGTTTGACTTTGGATGACAAAGTGGCAGCAGGAAAGCAGGCTCTGAGTTAGTCCCTGTTTGCTGAAGAGCGAGAATCTGAAGAATGAGGAGCAGGAGTGATCAGACACTTTTTAAAAAAGAGGAGGAGCTCTCGAGCAGGAGGTGCGTGGTATTTTCCAAAGTATTACACTTGGCAAGGCTTGTGAACTCTTTTCACATGAATTCTCATCTTGGCATCCAAAAAAACCCCTAAATGTTCCTGCACCTAATTTCAGAGGAGCCCTGACATGGGACTGTGATCAGTGCTACAGAGGACAAGCAGCAACCCCTGGAGGGCACCCTAGGGCCCACACTGGGAGTCCAGAAAGGTTCCTCCCCCCGAATGCGGGGCACGAGGGCCATCTTCGTGGAGCAGGAGCAGCAGGCACCTGGCCAGCATGGCCCAAAGGAGCCCTGGCCAGGGGCCGTGCTCCGTGCTGCAGAGGAAGGCAAAAAACCCCCAGGGACACTGGCTAGCCCACCGTGGGGGAAAAAAAGCCTTCCTCCCCCCAGCTGCAGGGCACGAGAGGCCACCTTCGTGGTGGACGAGCAGCAGGCAGTAACCTGGCCAAAAGGGACCGGAGGAGCCCTGACAAGTGGTCATGCTCAGTGCTGCAGAGGAAGGCAAAAAACCCCCGGGGGCCAGCACCAATGTGCCCCGGGGGAAAATTCCTTCCTGACTGCAGCCATGGCGATCAGCTAGTCCCTGAGCAGGTGAGCAAGACCTGCCTCCGCGTCCCACAGGCTGGTCACGCCTCCCAGGAGATGCCCAAGCCCTGTTCTCCCTCAGCCTGGAGCCATCTCAGGGGCTTCCAGGAGTGGTCAGATGTCCCCGGCCTGATCGACCCTGGGGGCAAGAAACTTTCCTGTGCCTGTCTAGCGGGTGCTCCAAAGCACTGGGACCCCTAGCAACATCCCTGCATCCATCCCATTTCTTACGGCTGCTGCTCCTGGCTCCGCAGGGGATGGGGCCGGTGAGCTCTGCAGTGCTCCTCACGGCGGCACTCCCTGGGTCTGGCCACAGCTCTCCAGCGGTAACAGCCTGAGAGCCTCGGGCACCTACAGAGGTTGGTGGTTCTTCTCCTCTCCTGAGGGACTTGCATCTGCTCCTGGAAGGCTTGAAGCAGGATTTCCATCCATCCAATGAGATTTGTGGTGGCCCTGCCAGGATTGGCTCTCGGGAAGCGGTTGCTGGATTTAATTTTTGTCCTCACTTGGCCTCTCACTTTTTTCTTGCCATTTCCCTGAAGAGATTGTGCACTGAAATTATATTTGGAGTGACATTGTTTGCCAAAATGTCATATTTCTCCACAGTGGCTTCACGTTAGTCCTGTGGAATTGCTGGAGGAGTTTCTTGGAAGTTTTTTTTTGGCAGGGCTATTTGTTTTAACATGTCCCTCCTGTCCACATCCAAAGCACTCAAGAGTGGATTTAGCCTTCATGGTAGTATCTAGTGCTGCCATTTTATGCTCCACAGTGCCAAATTTAGATCAGGCAGCAACCACGTCAGGTATAGAGGTATCTCCAGGCATGGCTTCCATAATTTTTTGGCAGTCCTCATTAGCATTATCTTCTGCAAGTTGCTTACACATCTGCCGCAGTCCATTATCGTCTACTTGTTTTTCTAAAGCGTCAGAAATTTTTTTTCAGCAAACTGCAAAAAGGTTCTCTGTTTCCCTGCTGGATAAGTAACATATTTCTGCTTGGAGCTGCTAGCTCCATGTTTCTTTTTAAGGCATTTAATTTCTAATTGTTGGGATTGTTCTAAAATAAGGGGGTGCCATGTCCCTGTAATTGAGGATTAGTAAACAGTCCTTCTCCTAGTAAAGCATCTTCACAAATGCCAAGATGTGGTTCATCCAGTGGCAGTCCCGTATTATTAGTCTCAATGACTCGAGGTATTTGCCTCCAGTTAGACTGAAAGACCATAAGCCGTATAGGCAGAAATAACACTTGTGGAAGAGTAATATCATAAGGACGTAACAAGGCAGTACTGATGATTCTACTTAACTGCATAACCTCAGGAGAGTTAATACCAAACTGTGCTGATTTTGTTTGCAAATCTTGCACCACCTTCCACGAGATAGGACTGTGTTCCTCATGTTGATTAGTGCCAGCCACTGCCTTATAAACAGGAAATGCTCTTGGGGCCCTGGTACCACTGTGAGTTTTCTGAGGACAGGGGTCAAATTTCTCAACTAGATCCCAGTTTTCCACTTCGTCCACTTTCTTTCTCACCTGCACCCAAAGCCGAGCAGGGTGACGAGGAGTAACAGTCACAATAGCAGGGGGCAAAGTCCATGGGAGGGTGGATTTGCTGACTTGGTCAGGGTCTGCAATCTGTAATGCTGCAGTTACATTTTGTACTGCACCTGCTCCTCCCTCCTCCTCATCCTCATCGGTACTGTTTCCCCAAGAAACACAAAGGGATCTGAGAGGGATTCACTGTTGATTCTATCTCTTCCTCCGCAGGGAGTGCAGTAAGTTCTGTAAAGTTAGAGCTTTGTTTCATCATCTGTAACTGCTGACTAGGGGTCTGATATCGACTAGGTGGAGGTGGAGGAGATTGTAATGAATTACATTTGACAGAGCCTGTGCAGGGTTTTTTGCCTGCTACAGAGGACACAGCGGAACAATCTTTAACTTGAGTGTGCTGCATCGAGCATTTATCCTCGTAATTTGGTAAAGGAACATGCATATGATTAATGGAAGAGAAGTGAGGTAACTGGAACTCCTCTTTTCCCACAGAGTGGGTACTGGGTACAGTAGGTTTGCCTTTATCAGCAAATTCTTCTGGCTGCTGAGCGGGGGTTTTATGATTAAACCCCTGGGAATAGTCTTTTGATGACTTCCAGGTGTTCACAACTTTAATCTGATCGGCAGGTGATGGATACTAGAGGATTTGTTTAGTTTCTTATTTAGATCTTTAGTTGAAAAATTAGGCAAATCAGGCTCTGCAGGGAGTTGTAACGCTCCCAGTTGCTCAGTTACAGTTTCTATGTCAGAGTCTTGATTAGAGCATTTTTCATTAACAAAGCATGTTTCTTTTGTCTCAGCAGTTCCTGCCTGTAGGTCCCTTTCCTTACTGTCCTGTTTTGCTTTCCATTCTTCTAGAGTCTCACTCAGCAGTTGCCAAGTAGAAACCAATTCTGCTGCTTCTTTTGACCCTTTAGAAATTTCATCCCATAATTTTTGCCCTACTGCCTGCCATGCTGATATACTAAATGCTGTGGCAGCTGTTGATTCAAATCCGTGCCTTTTACTCCAAGCAAGCATTCACCTTAGCCCATGTTCACTAGTCTTAACACCCTTACATTTAAGTAATGCTTTCCATGTGGACAGTATTTTTGCCTCTTCTTTTGTTAAATGCTGTCCCATGGCTATAGTCCCTTTCCCAGTGGCTCACCTTCCTATGTGTTGAAGTTCAGGTCCGGATCAAGCAGATTCCCACTGCTCTCAGCTTCACTGGGCTCCATCACCACTGCACGTTGTCCTGCAGCCCACTTTTGCTAAGTTGTGAGTCCCGAATCACGTCCTTCGAAGTCTCAATCTCAGCATTTTTGCACGTTATCGTTGCATGTTGTCGTCGTGCATCAGGGTCACCAGGTGTCACTGTAGAGACAAAGTGACACACACGCTCACATGGGTAAGTGGCCAGATTTTTTATTACTAAAAGCATGCATGTTTATATATTTCAGGTGCCACAGTGTCACAATATAGTTGGTCAAAAAGCTGTTTTTAACATTCTCATTGGATAACCTTTGTCAGTTTCCTCCCTGCTTACTTCATCCTGTTGTGTAGTCAGCAGCTCCTTAAAAGTTATTTGCTTGAAGCACAGCTTCCCTTTCTCAAGGGTACACCAGAATCTTGTCAAGGTCAAATTCTTCTTCAATGAGGTTGTTAGCAGACCAGCTGCCTTCCTCAACAAGTGGAAGGATGATGGTGGATTGTGGAATGGTGGGTTATGGGAAGGTGAATTGTGGGATGGTGGATGGTGGGACGTTGGATGGTGAATTGTGAGATGGTGGATCATGGATGGTGTTGGTGGGAAGGTGGATAGTTGGAAGAAGATAGTGGAGGGTAGATTGTCAGATGGTGGATGCTGAATGGTGAATTGTGGGATGATGGATGGTGGATGGTTGGGAGGTGGATGCTGGAGGGTGGATACTGGGAAGGTGGATAGTGGATTGTGGGATGCTTAATGGTGGACTGTGGGATTATGGATGGTGGATGGCAGATGGTGGATTGTGGGAAGGTGGATGAAAAATGGTAGATTGTGGCATGGTGGATTGTGGGATGCTGGATGGTATAAAGTGGCAAGGTAGATGGTGGATGGTAAATGTTTGGTGGTGGATTGTGAGATGGTGGATTGCGTGATGGTAGATGGTGGACAGTGGGAAGGGGGATGGTGGATGTTGCATGGTGGGAAGGTGGATGGATGGTTTATGTTGTTTGGTGTGAAGGTAGATGGTGAGTGGTGGGAAGATGGATGGTGGATGCTGGATGGGTGATTGTGTGGTCATGGATAGTGGATTTTGGGTGGTGGATGGTGGTTGCTGGATGGGTGATTGTTGGGTGGTGGATGGTGGTTGCTGGATGGGTGATTGTGTGGTCATGGATGGTGGATGTTGGGTGGTGGATGGTGGACGAAAGATGGTGGATTGTGGCATGGTGGATGATGGAAACATGGATGGTGTACTCGGCTGGGGAGCACAACTGTCTGAAGAACCAACTCCTACACCTAAGGCACAACAAGGGACTATGGGATACCTGTCAGTTCGATTATATTGGTGCTTTCCAGCTCTCTGAGGGAAAATGCTATGTATTGGTGGGGGTGCAAATCATGTTGGGCCTAACCCAAGCAGAAGCTGTATCTTGAGGAAGTGCAGAAAATATGGTGAAGGTGTTAAAACATTGGTTCAGCTGCTTGCCTAAACTCAGCTGAACATATCAGACATTGGGAGTCAATTTACTGCTGGGGTGGTTCAAGGGTGGACTTGAGATGAAGGAATCCAATGGATTTTCCATATTTCATGCTATGCCCGTGTGAATAGGATTGTGGAACACACCAATGGACTTCTAAAGCAGGCCCTAAAACCCCACAATCAGGGATGGTCACAACAGGTTCCAGATGTGGTAACAAGGGTAAACAGCCCATGGGGAATTAATGGATGCCCATGATTTACTGCGTTCTGTCCTAAGCCTCTATCCATACTCGCCAGGAAAAAAGAGACTCAAGACCCTGCAAACCCACTCCATTATCCTGGACAACCTGCTCTAGTAGGCTTGCCCACTGTGGGGCAAGTACCCCTAACCCTAAAAACTCCCGTCAGTATTTGATCATGGGTGACTACTGATGCCCATGGGAAAGAATACCATATCAATACCACGTGGATTGTCCCTTCTTTCTAACCATTATTGTTTTGTAATGTAAATATTTATTTTATAGAGCGTTGATCCTAGATGACAGGGGACCTAAGTTACTTTTAGCTTTTTCAATAGTTACAGGCATTATTGAGTAGTTGTTATTTGTAATTTGCCTTCATTATTATATGGAAAAGATGTTTTGGGAAGCCTGGTGTTCAATCTTTGTCCTTGCAGTGGTGGGACCATGGGGAGACTCCCCCAGTCTATC